CCGTACTCGTCGAACTCGACAAAGAGGTCGACGTGCAACCTAACCCATGCATCAGCCCGCTGAGTTTCTCGCCGGATCTTCTCAGTGGGTCGCGATTCCGATCCGGTAGTAGATTCATTCGCGAAGCAATTGCTCTTGAGTTGTTAGGTCTCCTTCGGAGGCGCTCGGGCAGTTGTTAGCAAATCCCACCCCTCCTGGCTGAGCCTTTGCTCGCCCACCTGTCCTGGTGAAGCTGGAAAGGCCTACGGGCCACCAGTAATCTTTCAATCACAAAAAAAAAAAAAAAAAACTTTGCTTATTCTCTGTCCAATTTTTTGAGTATAACAGCTCTATAAATAATAGAGACTTGAATGTTGTCTCAGGGCAGCAGCATACGCATCCATATTCAAATATGAAACTGTCAAATTTAATGTATGCCCCGCGTAATACCTACCTATTAATGAAATTATCTCAAAAGCGAAATTTTGATATTTCGACAGGACTATTGTTCTGCGTAATTATTGTGAAGGGCTTTTCATTTATTGTGGTAAAAATACCGTGAAAAAGCCTGGAAAATGGCGAGGATTTAGAAAACTTCAGGTCATTCTTTGAATAACGAAATATTTGACTATATCACATTGCAATCAAATATTGTATGTCCAATTAAACACATAGCAACTAAATTAATTATGATGAAAGGCTATCACTTAAAATATATTGATTGCTTTTTTAAAACTATATTTTACTCACGGCTTGATTCGCGTTAAAGGAAGCTAGTGTATTTTTTCAGGATGAAGGTAACCTATGTCTCCTATGATTCCTATCCGTGTATGCAAAATTTCTAGATAACTCTAGGTTAGGTAATTCTGGTAAGAGAGCGTAACAAAGTAATTCATTTTCGCAATTATATTATCATATTTTAGTACCTATGCATTTAATTTCTAATGTTAATTTTCTTTTGTTTCTCTGTACTTCTTTCTTTGATTCATTTTCCGCATTCATGTACCCATAAAAAAGTTAAAATCGTTTACGAAATTCCCAACCTGAACAGACAATACGCAAAATGAGCCAATAAAACCTGATAGAACGTAAAACGTTGCAAAAATTAACATTGCAAACATACTTTTCTAAATAAAGCTCATCTCTATAGCACACGCCCGTGTAATGTTACGTCCCAAATTTTATTATACTCTCATTAAAACTACGACGTAACAACCCTGTTGAACAAACTAAACGGAATGTGTGCCAGATTGCGAAATAAACGCTTTAATACATTTAGGAGTTTGCTTCATAATTGAGAAATCGTTTAACTTTTTATTTTCCATTTATTTATTGACTATGCCTTATCGCTTCTGGGTCCTCGTGATCCCTCACGTTGGCATGGCAAGGACCTCGGGAAAACACCCTCTACCCAAACTTGCTCTTTCGGGGATGATGATTTTATTGCATGCAAGATTAAAGATGAAATTGATAATGAACGAGTGAGTGAATGGCTGTCTGGATATATGATGAGAAAGATGAATGGATGAAGATGGAAATGGCATAGAATTGGGGCAGCTTGCCTCAGCTGATGTGTCCGTCCAGATCCCGGTATGCCTTATCAGAACCCGTTACCTTATTTATAGTAGAATTTTCCTTTCCAAGTTTTTGCTTGGAGCGTTCATTCCCGATTAGGCCTTGCTGTTGGCACAGCGTATTTTCAGAGACGGGTAGATGTCTTGGACAGGTCTGCTTCTAATGTGGAATAATCATGGCCTTAAGGATGGAATGCCATTAAATAATGCAATTGAAACTTTCAAATTCGTCTTTTGTGTCATCAAGTTTTGGTAACTACGATATAAATAAATAAATCTATACTAATTATAAAGAGGAAAGATTTGTTTGTTTGTTTGTTTGTCTTGAATATGCTCCGAAACTACTGAACCGATTTGAAAGATTCTTTCACTGTTTAGAAGATACACTATTCTTGAGTAACATAGGCTACAATCTTTTTTGAAAATATTAGGGATCCTTACTAAAACTCCAATAATGTAACCCAATGTGTAAAAAAATTACCTAAAATATTCTTTACATCGCGGGCCCTGCGAAAACTATTGATGATAGGATAAAATAATGTACTACGACTTTGTAGAACACATTATTATTTACAAAAAGTATCGCGACAGCATATGTTTAACTACTTTATGCCGCAATAAGTGTTCTTTTATTTAAAAAATAAAACAACGTCAAATATCGTTGAAATTTTTGTTAAAGACCCGAGCGGAGCCGGACCGTGATGCTTGTAAATAAATAAAGTGCAGTCACTATTACATCTGAGACCTTAAATGTTTATTTAATGCTCAAGACGAGTACTTCCCGTGTCTCCCGTCTGCCAGCCTCTGTCCGTCGCTGCTAATAGTATAGCACCCCAACATGAATAGCACACAAATGTTCTTCAAAAAATTCCCCAGGTGCTAATCTCAGTGAGGGTCGCTGCTATTCAAGTAGAGCTTTCCGTAACCCTTTTTTGTAGCACGTGATTTTTTATTCTTTTCTCGGACAGCGATAGTGACCGATACATCATTTCTTATATAATCGTAATGAAATATTAAACCTTTCTACACGATATTAAAACATCTACCATCTAAGTGTGAAGATACAGAGAGTACTGAAATGGAACCTATCCGATGATTTGCAAGCGAAGTAAATTGTCCCGTAGAAATAAGGACACCCTACAAAACTTACATACGTCCGGTCATGACCTATGCAAGTGTAATGTTCGCTCACACGGCCCGTACTAACTTGAAACCCCTTCAAATAATACAATCCTGTTTTTGCAGTATAGCCGCCGGAGCCCCATGGTATGTCAGAAATGTGGACCTCCACGACGACATGACCCTAGAATCCATCATTAAGTATCTACAGTCGGCATCATTTCGAGAAAGCGGCACGACACGAGAACTTTACTGGTGGTAGGACCTCTTGTGAGTCCGCGCGGGTGGGTACCACCACCCTGCCTATTTCTGAAGCAGAATGCAGCGTGAAACAGTAATGCGTTTCGGTTTGAAAGGTGGGGCAGCCGTTGTAACTATACTGAGACCTTAGAACTTATATCTCAAGGTGGGTGGCGCATTTATGTTGTGAATGTCTATGGGCTCCAGTAACCACTTTACACCAGGTGGACTGAGAGCTCGTCCACACATCTAAGCAAAAAAATAAATCTCTTCGTGACCCCCGGAATGGTAAACAGTCGACGTCGTCCAAAACACGTTATTTCGGATCCTCCCGATCCGCTAATTGTGCTTTTAGGTACCCCAAGCACCGTTCATCGTTTTCATGGAACTAGTCGCTTGCGACGAAGGGCTCGGCGAGTAAATTAATCCACAGACACAGTCCACTGAGTTTCTCGCCGGATCTTCTCAGGTATAGTTCCTTAGACTACCAACGAATAGGTAGGAAAAAAATGTATGCTGTGAAAGGCGATACTGAACACAAGATTTACATACTTTCAGCCAAAAACAAAATCAGATTATTATTTTATTTTATTTTATTAAATAAAATAAAAATCTTTATTGCCTTTGTAGGCAGACGAGCACACGGCCCACCTGATCGTAAGTGGTCATCGTCGCTCATGGACGTCAGCAATGCCAGGGGCAGAGCCAAGCCGCTGCCTACCATAAAGAACTCTCCGCAAGCCTCGTTTGAAGAAGGACATGTCATAGCGCTCGGAAAACACCGTGGAGGGGAGTTCATTCCAAAGCCGGATGGTACGTGGCAAAAAAGATCTTTGGAAACGCACTGTCGATGAACGCAGCGGTTCCAGATAATATGNATAAAGAACTCTCCGCAAGCCTCGTTTGAAGAAGGACATGTCATAGCGCTCGGAAAACACCGTGGAGGGGAGTTCATTCCAAAGCCGGATGGTACGTGGCAAAAAAGATCTTTGGAAACGCACTGTCGATGAACGCAGCGGTTCCAGATAATATGGATGAACTCTGCTCCGATGGCGGGAGGTGCGATGATAAAAAGGAAAGGATTATGAAAAGGTTTCTTAAATAAAACACGTCATTCATATTGTACTAACCATTTAATATTTAGGTACACAAAACTTTTCGTATTTTAAGATTACAGCTACATTCTTGATGGTAAACTTACGTCTGAGAAATAGCAATTCTCGATATAACATGTACCATTTAATACAATTCTATAATACAAATAATTATTTAAATGTTCGATTATAGTCCAGATGTAATTAGAGACATTAAAAATTATTAATTTCCACGAATCGAGACTGTCTCTATTAAAAACATCAGAGGTTTTTTCGCAAATTTATTTCTTTCGACCAAGCGTATTTGGATGGTCTTTTTATGGTAATAGTTAGACAGCCTTCACTATAATTCACATTAATTGTAATTTATAAATGATACATTTAACAAAAACAACGGAAAGTTTAAATTAAGATTTCTTTTGAAGATGTTCAATGAACGATGTTTATAATTTTTGGGATTTAACTGGCAAAGGGGTCTTCTCCTATTTAATTTATAGTTCACACTTACAATATACTTCCAGCCTTACACAGAGATTGGATAGAAGTTAACACCTTGGCTGCGGCGAGTAAAATCATAAGCCTTAATCTGTTGCGGCGGCGGGTTGAAATGCACCTTTAAAGATATTTCCGCCAGTGCATTGCAGGTCTTTTTCGACCCAACAGCACTAAGGTAGATTATAATGTTATAACATAGCGAAAACATACTGTATACTGTTTATAGTATATAGTTGTCGTTGTCGAATTCTTAAAAACACCTCAAATAATCGGTCCGCATCAGAGAGAGGGATATAGCTATCTTTGTCCGCACCATCAGGTCAATGTTGGCCGGTTCCGCAGCGAAGGTGTTAAATAACCATTATAGTTTAAACTTGTTTTATAATTGACGAACATTGAAATTTGTATAGTAATATAGTCTGAATATATATAATAGTAATTTAACAAGTATTATCGTAATAGAAAAACTCTATATATATAACGTCACGTGTGTGTTTTGTTTGTTTACGTCATCAATGATTAAGAATTATTTGGGGGAATTTTTGATTTAAATCGTTTCTAGGAAATACTCGTCGTTTGTGTTCTGCGACCGTCGGTAGTTGTCCATCTGTGGGCAAAACAAATATTAATATACTCGTACTAATGTCGACAATGTTCACTATTTTTTAAATTGCTTAGATTCGGTAGGCAGCGGCTTGGCTCTGCTCCTGGCTTTGCTGAAGTCCATGGGCGACGGTAACCACTCACCATCAGGTGGGCCGTATGCTCGTCTGCATACAAGAGCAATTAAAAGAAATAGATGGGTGGACGAGCTCACAGCCCATTGGGAGTTATGTGGTTACCGGAGTACATAGACATCTACAACGTAAACGCGCCACTCACCTTGAGATATCAGTTCTAAGGTCTCAGTATAGTTACAACGGCTGCCCCACCCTTCAAACCGAAACGCATTACTGCTTCACGGCAGAAATAGGCGGGGCGGTGATACCTACCAAGAGGTCCTACCATCAGTAGTACAACTTTAATTTAAACTACATTTACGGATTCATTTCAGATATTTTTTTAAATACAGCTTTATATGATACGATACGATAAATTTTAAGTAGTTCAAAAATATCGGATATAATAAAAAACACTAGAGAAAACAGACAAAAATACAAAATTAACAGCGTGAAACGAACGCGTCGAAGATACTGCGTTCGAATAATGGCATAGATTTTTCAAGTTAATAAATATCAAATACCCATCAAAAACAAAGCCATTCTTCTATTATTTAATCACATAGTCGTGAAGCAAAGTTAGCTCAGACTAATTATATCTTCGCACCTTCGTCGAGATGCAAACTGTTGAATAATGCAAGACTCATGTCTATGTAGTATGCTTCTAACTTCAAACTCTCTAGCTGTACAGATGTGACGTCACTTAATAATAATTGTCTCTTAATAAAGAACCATTATATTATTTAACTGAGACTTTAATAACTGAGATCAAATTACGCATATGGTCATTAAGCCCTAATTTACAATTACATGTGTTATGGGTACCAGAGACTAATAAACATGCTTATATATGTCTAAATATATACATAAATAGATAGTAAATATACAGACAAAGAGCAAACAAACCTGTTCATCACACGAATGCTTAGCCGACGTGGGAATCGAACCCACGACCCTTGGCGCAACAGTCAGACCCGCTAACTACTGCACTAACTAATACCAAATCAATCAGTCAGAATTTAATAGGAGAGATTATATATTTTGAAGACAAACAGATCAATGTTTACGGCTCGGATGTAAAAGCGAAATATAGCCTTATAGCTCCCAATTAGAAACATTGACACTGCGGTATAATGCTCTGTCGAAAAAATACAATAATATAGTGTATTCTCCAAACCATCACGTATATATACCACCATCGTACCTATTTCAGCCGCGTATAAGCCATACGCTTCAGTTTGGGGCATCAAGTAGCTGTTATAAATCACAACTGAAAGCTCCATGTCAAGTACCAAGGATTAACACTATTCTCAACATACCTTAAAACCGATACAGAATTCAGAGGCCGGTATAGAGGATGCTATGTGGATGACGAAGAAATAGTGGTAATAGCTGGAGGTAACTTATAAAACCTTGTCATATATTTGGATTTTGGTCTTACTTATAAAAGTTTACAATATTTACAATATTCATAAAGCAACGAGCAAGTTTGTTTTACATTTCTTTTGAATATCGGTTATGTTGTGGTTTTTTTTCCTTCCTAGCTGAGAGCCTTGAGAGGCTATTTCAGCGAAACCTTAACTAGTAGGTGAGCTCACGGGGCTCAAACCTGACGACGTTGCTAACACGAACCCTAGCAAGAGCCGTGCTTTGCAGAATCTACCACCGGAACGGAAATGCGACCCACTGAGAAGATTCGGCGAGAAACTCAGTGGGCTGTGTCTGAGGGTTAATTTACTCGTCGAGCCCTTCGACGAGAACGATGACCGGATGTTGTGTACACACTTACCCAATGTTTGAAGATATTCCTAAGCTTGTACTTCATCACGTCTCTGGCAGCGGCGTCATGGTCGTACACACCTGAACAATCATAAAATTCTAGTCACTAAAATTCTGTCAAAGTTAACAGATTTACCTTAAAGATTTGTTGTGCAATAACCAAGAGACCTTATCGTGTGATGTCGCTATGCTTTCATCCTAAGGCTGGTCGCAATTTTCCTTAATAATCATTCTTTTATTTTGTTTCAAGGGATACAGAATCTCTTGGCCACCTAGTGTTAAGTGGTTACCGAAGCCCTTAGACATCAAGAACGTAAATGCCACCATCCATCTTGAAACATGAGTTCCACTCAAATTATGGGACTTAGTTACGCAATTACTGAAGCTAGTGAATGATTTGTAACGATAATATCTTGAACATGATCCTATTGAATTATCTGATGGTTTTTTGTGACGCGGCTCCTGGAGCTGGATATTATTGGGTACCACGACGTGAACGATTCTAACTGATAGCTTTAAGACATGAAGAAGTTGTTAGGTTGTTATCATTAGTAAAACTCTTTTCTGTAATGTTTTTAGAACTTTAAGCATATTTAGGAAGAGTTTTCTCGGGACTGCGTTGGAACCGTAAAATTTATAATTAAAAGTTGTATTTGACGACTTCTAATTATTATTCTTTCTTTAAATTTAGAGATTAAGTAAATTAAAAAACGCAATTAAAGTAAGTAGAGCACTGAAGTGGAGATGAACAGGACATATGTATCATAAGAGAGAAATGCGAAGAATGGCCCAAAATAATTACGGAGCGTACACACGGGACGGCTTTAGATAAAAAAGGACAGCAATCAAAACGTTAGGAAGATGATATAAAGAGTATATCCGGCCCCACATTGAAGTCGAATAGCCAAAAATAGAGAATATTGGAAACTAGCTTTTGCCCGCGACTTCGTCCTCGGGGAATAGTTACTTTGGCATAACGCTAAATTTTACCCGCCTCTTCATTCACGTACTTAACTTAAACTTTAACCGTTTCCGCAGCGCACACAGTGGAGGTTCTCAAAAGGGACTAAAAACCCCGATTTTGATTCTTTATTGGTGCTCTGCTTGTATTGGTCTTAGCGTGATGTTAAATATGGGCTATCTAACACTGAAAGAATTTTTCAAATCGGACGAGTAGTTCCTGAGATTAGCGCGTTCAAACAAACAAACTCTTCAGCTTTATAATATTAAAGTATAGATCTTTAAAACAGGCCTTTGTTAAGAGACAAGCTCATTCGAAAAACAAAACAGCGAATGCCGAACGTAATACTTAATTATACGCTAGATTTAAATTTAAGGTATTACATATTAAGTAAAACATATTGTTGAGCAAAAAACAGTAATAAAGGCTTATTTATTATTAATTCTTTTTTATCCGAACCTCCATCCCTAATAGGTATGATGTCGTCGCCAGGCTGCAGCACGTTGTAGCTGGAATGAGGGTACCCTGGGTGCGGAGGAGTCTCCTCTTGACCGAGCTGATGACGCACCATCATATCCTGATTCGCCATCTAAACACAGACAAACGTAATGATATATATTATGAAAACGACAGTTAATTTGCTACAAATATAATTAATTAATGTGGTCAAAATTTAAATTTTATACTATCGGCAGACCTACCCGGCAGACCTTGTGGTGCCTCAATCGATAAATAAAAGACACATCAAGGGGACACATCAAAGGAAAAACAAAATTGTTGTTTATTTTTATATAATTCCGAGCTTTTTTTATATTTTCTCACCTTTTAAACCTTCTCTGGACTTCCACGAATAATTCAAGACCAAAATTAGCCAAATCGGTCCAGCCGTTCTCGAGTTTTAGCGAGACTAACGAACAACAATTCATTTTTATATATAGAGATAGAAGATAAATAATAAACAAATTTCCTAATGTCAATAAACAAACAGACCTTTTTCATTATATTTCCTTATAGAAACGCTAATTTAAAGTTAACATTTACGAATATAGCAGCATCGCCTTATTATATTAATTATTATATTTAAAGAATATTTGTTTAGTGCGTATGCAGAATGCAGAACTGCTTATGTTTGGATATTTATTCAAATATGTACCACGCTTATGAAAGACGATCAATAGACAGGTAAATAAATAAATTATATTTACTTTTTTCTAACCGGCTTAATTAGTTAGTTAGATTTAGTTATTAGTTAGAGGCTATACCATTTATAGTTAACTGGTGACGTACAATAAAACTGTTATGAGTAATAAATAATATACAGAAACCTTAACGAAACAACACAGTTAGTTACACAGCTTTGAGATATATACATATGTTAGTGTTAAAAGTTCAATTAAAATATACTCTTTTTTCGTTAACTCCAGGAATCAAAACTATCTGACTATGTAGGGCTGTTTTCTCAACCAGTCTAACGCATTATGAAATGTCTCATGTAATTAGGGGCGAGTTCCCCTACAAGGGTTCCAGTTCAAGCTGAGTAGTTCATACATTACATGTAGTTTATTTACGTCATAACACCCCTAAGTTTCCATTAAGGACTTTATTTAATTTAAAGTAAGAAGTTTCTTTAAAGTTTGTTGTCGAACAATTACGATAGTTATATGATGGTTATATGAAACTTCGAATGTTTTATGATTATCTATAATTTATCTAATAAGCTATTTGTCTGAGCTATGCTGAAATTGGCTATTGTGGCCTTAAATACAGCCACTATCGTTATTGACATGAATTACTGTCAAGCTGTCAATCGTGACTGAATCTTTCAGGTCCATCACCGTCAGACTTTTTTATACTCAAGGTCGTGTTAGTACCGCGAGTGCATTAACACAGAGATTTTATTGAACATTTTATATTCCAGATTGTTCTAATTTTCATTTGCTGTAAAATTAAAGTCGACTACCAATTCCCACAAAGCTTATCCAAAAAACTATATAATAGTCTTTTGTTGTTTTTTCAAATTAATCTTTCTATATATCTTTCAGCCCGCCGACGTCCGCTACTGAACCTAAGCCCCTTTCCATGGTAATTCATAAAAATATACGCATAGTTTTATCATTTGCTATTTCATATTCCAGAGTTTTGTCGGCACGATACGAATTTTTTATCATATCTATTCCAACCATCACCTTTATTTGCAAGCAATCAGTTTGTTTACTATTTCAACGCCATTGGAATGTACTTAATTTGCTTGATTAAGATAACGAAACGTCCAGACATAAACCTTTTCTCGTATTGTTCATTCTCTTTATATTTAAATACTTTATTTTTTTATGGGTATTGTGGGTGACTCACATGTATTGTATGGTATAAGTAGTTATAAATCTTTTATGAATGATATGAGTTAGAAGGGTTATTTTGATAATATCCTGAAAAGCACCCCACGCTTTTTTTACAATAAAATATTTTTTTTCTTACACTATTTTTATTTCAAATTTATTAAAATTTATTTTCTATTTTTTAGCATGATTTTCTATAAAAGCGTATTTTGTTCGTTTTTTTAAACTATTATTTATTAATTATTGCTTTTTGTTTCGTGTACCGCTTGTGTTACTTAGACTATCTTGTTTACTTTCTCCTTCTTTGTATATTTTGTGTTCGTCTTAAATAAAAACTTTCTTTGTGTCCTTTTGTGTTTGCAAAGACATCATAATATAACGAAAGACGACTAAAGGTATCAAAGCAGAGGGCGACTTAAAAATACTTGGATGGATTGTGTGGAAAAGGATATGTGATGAAGGGAGTGAGTGCAGAGATGATGTATGATAGGCTTGAATGGAAAGAAAGGTCATGCTGCGCCGGCCCCACGTTTTGGGATGAAGAAAGAAAAATGAGACAATGTTTTTCTTATCAAACTTCATAGCATACTTTTTCTTATCAAAATTTCCTAAATACAAACCAGACATTACAATGTAGGTATATTGTTGTAGGTAATGTTTTCAATGCGTGGAATTTAAAGGGTGAAAATAACTTGATTTTTTTAATTCAATATATGATTTTGTTTCACCAATTTAATTTTTTGTTTATTGTTTTCATCTTTTTACCGTGTGAACCTACCTACCTACTTATACCTACCTACTCATACAGTCCTTAATGCTCAAGGATGGTAATATTAAGTTTTTTGAGAACACTTACATCCATCGGTGCGGGTTCGCCTGATCTCTTTCCATGCCCGCCGAAGCAGGAGTGCCCAAATGCTGAACAGCCTCCTGCAACAAATATATCCCGTCAAAGATCGGTGGTGCCCTAATGCATATGCTGACACTGCTAATGGCAATGAACTGATGTTTAATTTAATATTTAGATGAGACGCAAAAAATCCATTCTTCCCATCTCCGACAAAGGTATCTAGCAAAAAATATTTATTAAATTTTAAATTGTTATACGACAATATTGTGTTTTTATATCTTACACCGTGCTTACAGAGATTTTTTTTTTACTATTCTGTCAACCCACAGACATCCACTGCTGGACATAGGTCTCCCCCAAGCCTCGCCACAAATGTAGATATGATGAAGCGATAATTCTGAAAACTCATTTGTGAAAATTTGATTGTCCCCGAAAATAAAAACTGTATTAGGGAACAACAACAAATTGCTTTATCCTCTGGCCCTAACGTAACCAGTGTGTATTAAATCCTTCGTGCATTAGAATAGAATAATAATTTATTATCCCCATATACACACGGGAGCGAACTCTGTTCAATTTTGTTGATCGTCCCAAAACGACTTTGCGAAGTTTTGTGCAAATGTTTCGGGTATAGACTTTGTATTTTGTAAACGAATTTTAACGGGATTTAATTAAAAGAGTCATTTTATTGCTTTAAATGGATTTCGCTTGATATATTTACTTGAATCTCTGATATCATTGATGGAAGGGCGAACCGTGATCTTGGCAGTACCAACTGTCAAGCGTGTACTACGCTTTGAAGGCTGATATAGCCGCTAAAGGTAAAATGGTGACTTAGCTCTCGTATGATGCGTGTGAGCGTTGTGTTTTTCTATGGGTTCTAAGGCGAGCCGAGAACTCGTTCAGAAATATAGTGTAAAATAGCCGGCCGATTTGAATAGTTGAACGATAAAGTCAAATTATCTTTTTATGTTCAAATCAATTTTTATTTTGCCTATCTATTGCTAGTTACCTCGAGCGGTTATGCTAGCTTCACCGAGCGTGTAGGCGAGCACATGGGTTTCAGTCAGTTACATACTTTGCTAACATCTGCCCTACCAAGAACAGTGCTTCACTGAATCCACCACCGGATCGGAATCAAGACCCACTGAGAAGATCCGCCGGAAACTCTGCGGGTTGAATGAAGTTACCTATGACATCGTGGGTGCGTGGGTGTGAGTGCGTGTTATCCGCATTGAGATTTCGAACCCACTTCTCGAGGTCGATTATCTCATTCGCGTTGTAACACTCTTAACATTAGCTGATGTATGACCCATTAAGTGTTTAACTAGCCAACCAGTTCACTGAACCAGTCTTACGCGACGTGCCCTTCCTCGCATTCAACGGGTTCGAAGAGAACGGTGACCGGTGCTTGGACTACCTAAAATCTCCGAGAGTGGATCAGGACGATTCGATATAACGTGTGATCATTCACGTGGCGCACGCTAATATAAACACCACAAATCTTTACCAAAGAATAACAGTAACCGCAAAAGGGTTCATTGTCTGCTTGAAAAAACAGGCGATTTTGCGAAAATTCAAATTTCTTCGAATTAGAAAAATATATATTAGTGTTATTATAAGTGTTACGTGCTGGGGTTCGGGATAAATAAAATTCCACCAAAATTTAAACTATAAACTGTATTCAACACTTAAAACACTGAACAAACGCTTTAAAACTCTCAATTCGCTTGCTCCGCTTCGCTTCAGGTGATCCGTTCGCTGTTTCGCTTCGAGTAATTCCGACTACTGACTGACTGCGTGCCATCCCTGCAACGCTTTTATAGCCGATACCATATCCCTAGAAATATCGAGAATATTCCACACATTTCTAGTATTGTGTTTCCGCTATCTGACAATAGATGGCGTTGTACTACTCGAGCGTTCTAGGTGCTATTAGATCCTTCGATATTCGTTCGACTATTCGGCGATAGATGGACTCTTACCGGCGTAACATAAGTATGGCAATGACGTACATCCAATTATAGTTCGAGTTCATTCAAAATCGATAAAGTATAAATTCCATTGAATATAAATATTGGAACACTTTTGTTCGAAGCCGTGTCAAGGTTTGCAATTGTTCATTTATGATTCATGCTTATCATTTAATGCGTATACATAACTATATTAATACGGAATGAATATGTTAGAGGAAGTCTGAAAGTGGCACCTGTGACAGAGAAGCTGAGGAGTGCACGTTTGGGATGGTATGGACATGTGATGAGACGGAATGAAAATGAAGTTGTTAAGAGAGTGTTAACTATGAATGTGGAAGGATTTAGAGGACGAGGTAGACCTAAGAAGAAATGGATGGATTGTGTGAAAGACGATATGGGTAGGAGGGGAGTGAGCGAAGAAATGGTATATGATAGAAGAGTATGGAAGGAGAAAACATGTTGCGCCGACCCCAGGTACTGGGAGAAGGGCAGGATAATGATGAATGATGATAACATAACTATATTACCTATGTTTTCAGTGACTTAAAAAAAATTAATATGCATCTTATCAAAAACGATTAATATTATCTGGTCACTCACATAAGTCCGTTTATGGGTAAGGACAAGAGGATTTCTTTATTCCAAATCATAAATTTATACAATACTTTACTTTGGTATAACATTATGAGAGGAGTAGTGAATGCATTAGTAGCAAATCTGTTACCACTAATGATATAGTCATCATATCGACAAGTGAAAGGCTATTTAGCTTAAACGACGTATTTGCAACTATACAGAAGAGCCATTTAAAATGTTATTTTTGGTCAAAATATCATGACAAAAAAAAAACTTCTTCAGCTATTTCTCAGCTAGATCTCTGATGCGTGTGCAAATTTTCAAATTAATCGGTGAAGTCAATGAGAATGACTTTCTAACGTTCCAATAGACTAACTAGCCCATTGATAAAACCCACTGAGTTTCTCGCCAGATCCTCTTAGCGGGTAACATTATTTAACTGTTGCATATGAAGCAGGCGAGCTCGCGATCCTTAAGCATCCAAAATACCTAATACCCCCCTTAATTATATACGCCGAAGAATGGCGATACGGAGCCATTAACACACAACTCCGGTCATCGTTCTCGTCGAACCCGTCACTTGCGATAAAGGGCTCGACGAGTAAATTAACCCACAGACACAGCCCAATGAGTTTCTCGCCGGATCTTCTCAGCGGGTCGCGTTTCCGATCCGGAGGTAGATTCTGCGAAGCACATCTCTTACTAGGGTTCGTGTTAGCAACGTCATCAGGTTTGAGCCCCGTGAGCTCGCCTGCTAGCCCAGTGATGCTGACATGGTCTCTCTAGACCATTTTATTTATTTATTTTTATTGCTCAGATGCGTGGACGACCTCACAGTCCACCTGGTGTTAAGTGGTTACTGGAGTCTACAGAGATCTACAACGTAAATGCGCCACCCACCTTGAGATATAAGTTCTAATGTCTCAGTATAGGAAGTATTAGAGGAAATAAAAACACACACACACAATATCGAAGTCGCAATTAAAGTCCGCAGCGCCTATTACCAATCTTTCTCTAACTCTCTAGCTCAAAAGGAAAGATTATAAATCATGTACGACATAAGCAATCTAAACAAACAGTGCAACCACATAGGATTACCCCTAACGAACCTCAAATCCATCTATACACGACTGCTCATCCGCGCGGACGCTGGAAAATCTTGAAATAATGAAAGAATCCGAACCTTTGTATTTTTAGTTTTCCATAATCCAAAGTTCTTTTTATGTGCAACAAACCACAATGTTTGCGTAGTGGAGTCAAAAAATAAAACGGATTACTAATATTAAATAATTGGTGCAACTAAATCAATTAATAAAGATAATAAATAACTACCTATATATACTAATCTATATATTAATACGTGAAGCAAAAACTTTGTATCCCTTTTTACGAAAATTGCGAAGACGGAGGAGTTTGAAATTTTCCACACTTATAGGGAATACAGAGAAGAAGTGCACAATGCTAATATTTTTTTTAAATAATGCATAAAAGATACATTAAATTAATAAAGTAAACATTATACACACTACATACCATGCATTTGACGCACACACGCATGCATACTATTTATTGTCAAACTTTTGTTCTTCACCCCTGTGGTCAAATCATAGACCTATGGTCAAATTGAGAATAGATTAAATATTGTTTGTCTTTATTAATATTTTTTATAGTGTAGCCTTGGCTTGGTATTGGTGTTGGTATTGGTGGGGCGGCCGATGTAACTATACTTGAGACCTTAGAACTTATATCTCAAGATGGGTGGCGCATTTAAGTTGTGGATGTCTATGGGCTCCAGTAACCACTTAACACCAGGTGAGCCGTGAGCTGGTCCACCTACCTAAGCAATAAAAAAAAAATTTAATTAAGTTTTACTCCGTTAGCTTTAGCAGTTTTTTTAACATGATATCTTTTCCAAATTTCAAACTTTAAATGTCTCTCCGGTAGTTTTTCAAAAATGTCGCTCATAAACTTTCATCTCTCGATATAGATATTATAGTCTTATTGTGATAAACTCCGATATTTCGATGTACTCATTATAACTCCGTACCGAACTCATTGAATTAAGAACCAAAGTTACATACGCCGTGTTCTATCTCCATCTCTGGGTTCACGGAATTTTTCCTCTCATCGTTCGAGTCTTTGTTGTGAGCAGCCCGTGTACTTGTATCAGTTTATGACACTTATCTCACGTAAACTCATGAGAGATCAGAACAGAATTACTTACGATTTCATTGTTTTGGAGTTAGTTTTACGATACTTATCGTTCAATAGTAAGCGAAGGTCTACCCAAAGTTGATACATTGCGATTGGCAATCGAAATTAATAAAAAATTGGGTACCTCCACTTAACACAAAAGCGTAAAATTGCGTGCATAGTTCACGGGCGCTTCCCACTTTAGTTAATTCTCAAACACTTTAAGACTCTCTTTAACAGAACAAGGATTGCTCCAAATATTATTGACTTTATAATACAAATTCCGAAATTGACGTAATAGTTAACCACTACTTAATAGATTATTTTTAATATTCAAAGCAATATCTGAGGGTATTTAGTTTGTAAAGTATTTCATGAAATAGACAAAAAACCAGAATAATACAAAGCACTACTTACAGCAAATAGTAGTTACAGTAGGTGTGAGATATCAAACCAGTTTCTAAACGCATTCGACACCTATAATCCTAAAATGTAGCTATCTCGCTCTTTACTCAACTTCCCTCTTATCTTTTTCTTAAGTGTTCGGTTAAGTGCATGCTCATATTAAATAATGCTTATTAAATGTAATAATTAAGTGTTTTTATCCATATATGAAAGTAGGTATATTTCTTTTACCTTTCCCTATTTATTTGCTGGTGGCCTTTTTTTTGCTCAGGAGGAAATCGCCAGTCCTCCGTCCTCCACTATGGATGGCGGGCGGGGCATGTCGGAGTCGAAACAACTAAAAACCTCGTATCGCTCAACAACCCACGTCCGAACCTCGCATGAGACCGAACTCATGAAAAGGCAAAGGGGGGAAAGCGAAGCATTAAGTGCGGAGCACACCTCTCCCATCACCCTCCCCCTCGCTAGAAGCCTAAGAGGCTATCCCAGCTAAGCCCGGGCGGGTAGGTGAGCTCACGGACTCAACCAGAGAGAATTTGCTAACACTAGCAAGAACAGTGCTTCGCTAAATCTACCACCGGATCGGAATCGCGGTATCGCAGACATATGTATAGTTATTTACATACACTGCGCGCCCTCTCGGCGTGTGGATGTCGTGAGAATACTCGGATCCCGGTCCCGAAAAAAAAGGTGCAGCAATGGAAATATAATATATCATAAATAACGATCAAACGATACCAGTCAGTCGCAAATTTTATCCAATCGGACATTTTTAACAAATACAAATATCGAACCACATAACACCCACTGATTGATCACAAACTTTTATCGAGCTTATTGGTTACGTTTCATTTTCGTCAATTAAGTTTGTTTTTAAGTCAGAGCTTTTAAATTTCGTTCAGTTCGTTCGAAAATTATTTATCAACCGCAAGAGCTATTGTCGGGAGCTTTCAAGAATATTCTTGATTATTCTACTTTAAAAAAGTTTTTTTTTTTAATTCATCCTAAAAATAACAATCAAAATGCGCTAAAAAGACAGTACGTCAAAAAAATCCTATAAGATCCAAACCGAATGCAGACAGACTTGAAAACAGTGAATTCTTTTCACCCATTCAATTTGTTATTCATCATTATCCAGGAGTGAAAGGTTAATTGGTATAAGCGACATTTATCTTTTTAAAGGTCCGTTTTATTTGTAATTAGCATCAGCAGTTCGATGTTTTTAATTGATCTTCAATTAAGTTTAAATTCCATTCAAAAAGCTGAAGTTTTTTTGTTATAATATTTTTTCCAAATTTTAAACATTAAATGGCTCTCTTGCTGGTAGGACCTCTTGTGAGTCCGCACGGGTAGGTAACACCACCCCGCCTATTTCTGCCGTGAAGCAGTAATGCGTTTCGGTTTGAAGGGTGGGGCAGCCGTTGTAACTATACTGAGACCTTAGAACTTATATCTCAAGGTGGGTGGCGCATTTACGTTATAGATGTCTATGGGCTCCAGTAACCACTTAACACCAGGTGGGCTGTGGACTCGTCCACCCATCAAAGCAATAAAAAATAAATTAAAAAATAACCCACTCTGAGATATAAGTTCTAAGGTCTCAGTATAGTTAATTTTGTACTTTGGTCTTACTTTTGATGTAATATAAATAAAGTTGTGAAAGGAACAAAAACTAAGAGCGGAAGTAATAAATAACGATCAAATAAAGCAGACACGTGAAAACAGCTACAATGTTATAACGTTATAACACAGGCCAATTTGCTTAGTAGGAGCGTCACAAAACTTTTCACATTTGTTCATCTTAAACGTTAAAACAACAATCGGCTTGCAAAGTTGTAACTTAAACAATATGGTTGAAGTTAAGTTATGGATAGCGGGTATTGGTTGTGGAATCGACCGAAGCTTGTTTATTTTGTTAGTCGCTTTGGCTGGTCTCGAATTCGGTGTGTTTTATGTAACTATGCTACTTACTCCAACATTCACTATTATTTTGATCTAACATAATAATAATATGTTTTTGATGCCGAAAGTCGTTGTTAAACCAAAACTAAGATTCAGAACTGAGAGAACAGTTACTGGAGCCCATAGACATGTACAACGAAATGCGCCACCCACCTTGAGATATAAGTTCTAAGGTCTCAGTATAGTTACAACGACTGCCCCACCCTTCAAACCGAAACGCATTACTGCTTCACGGCAGAAATAGGCAGGGTGATGGTACCTACCCGTGCGGACTCACAAGAGGTCCTACCACCAGTAAAAATACACACAATACAGTGTGTATTGAGATTTAACAACCCTTGTCTAACCCTAACAATACTCGTAGCTATTTAGACGCTTTGAAACAGTCACCGTTTCAAAGGTCAACTCTTACTCCAACGTATCGACGATTTGAATTTAACTTTCCCAAGTGAGTGGTGAGATTGTGATATTTGAGAAATCCCAAACAATTTTTTTTGAAGTTATGCTTCTTTAGGCGCGTTATGAAAAATTGATGAGAGTGAAATTTTACGATGCGCGCTCACCGTGACACAAAAATTAACAGAATGAAGAGTGAACTTTGCACATGTGCGCATGTGCACTCGTAAAAAAAAGTATTATTAGCATTCATTTTTTAGTAATATAAATAACAAAATTATTATTTAATATAATTCATACTAAATATTATTAAATTATTAACGTTAAATATTTATTATTAATAATTTAATATTTAAAAAAAAAAAAAATAATTTTAATATAAATAAAGTATAACTTCTTACGCGCCTACACAAGTACACGCACCCTTTTTTTCTAAAATTTCTCCTCCGATAATTTTCTGTGCATTAGATCTATATAGCCACAAATGAAAACGCGTCGATCAGTAAGGCAATTCTGATATTCAAGATGCGATGTGAGATCGAGTGGAACACATACAAATGCTCAATTTTCGTACCTTCATTCATCGGTTATTGTTTGGGATTTTCGCTTAAGACCCAAAAACGTGGATTCCGGAGTTATTCGCCGTGGAACGTATAAATTGAAATATTTAACAATCAAACCAATATATCCAGATATCTCGGATAGAAGCTTAGGGTAATGTTTAGCAACAAATTACAGCTCGTGTCGATTTCTTTAACCCGGTAGTCATGTTGTTCTTAAGTAGTGCTTATTATTAACTACTTAACCAATGCATCAACATAATTTTCTATGGAAACGAGCGACATCTTGTAGCGGATGCCCCTAAACTTATATGTTGTTAAAGTTAAAGCATTTAATTATTGCATAACTAAATAAAAAAATAATAAATCATACAAGTTTTTATTTGAGACAAATTGATTAAATTTTATAAATTTGTGGTTTCAGAAAATTTACTTAATCTTTCATTAAAAAAATTATATAGGATAGGTAATATGTTACTACCATCTATAGGAGCAACGAGAAACTAAGCGAAGCGAAGCCATCTAGTGGCCGACGCCCGTAAACATTTTTGTTGAGTGCTTGAGTTGCTAATTTATAACTAATTTATGTGTATTATCTATGGCCTGACTTTGGAAGAGTGAAGACACACAGTGTGCCCGCAACGTCAAAAGAAAAAATTATATCGGCCCATTCTGCGGCATGTATAAATAAGTAGATATTCAAGAAATAAAATATAAAGTTTAAAATGATTGCATTACCAATGATGCGTCATCATAGTTTTAGTTTAGAAGTGGAATACTCACGTTTAGCACTCACTCCTTGTGACATCATCAGCAAGACTGCGATGGAGACCGCTAAGCAGATCTGAGCCATTGTTGAAACTGCAATAAAACGAATGTATTAATTTTTTCATACCATTCATATTTTTAAGTACGTGGTACTGAAATTAAACTAGTGACAACAGTTCGCTTCTTTTTCCGCTGCAATCAGCAAAGGAGTTTCAGCCCGCTTAAAGTTTAGACGTCACCGAAGCCAATGGACATGACAATGTCCCTGGGACGCTTCGTAAGAGGCGAAAGTCATATTCTCGTTAATATTGCGTAATATAATTTTTTTTCAGGAGGAAATAGCCGGACTTTCGCCCTCCACTGGGGATGGAGGGCGAAGCATGTCAGAGTGGAACTGACCAAAACCTCCTGTCGCTCAACAACCAACGTCCGAACCTCGCATGAGACAGAACTCATGAAGAAGCAAAGGGGGGAAAGTGAAGCGTTTAGTGCGGAGCACATCTCTCCCATCACCCTCCCCCTCGGGACGCCAGACTGGCGGTCGTCGGCGCCACGACCACCGCAGTTTTCTGTCTGACGTATATTTCGGAGCAGAGAAAGAGGGGATGGTGATTTTTTTATAACGTTGATGGCGCCCTTGTCTACTTTTTTATTGCCTAGATGGGTGGGCGAGCTCACGGCCCACCTGGTGTTAAGTGGTTACCGGAGCCCATAGACATCTACAACGTAAATGCCACCCCTCACCATGAGATATAAGTTCTAAGGTCGCAGTATAGTACAACGGCTGCTCCACCATTCAAACCGAAACGCATTACTACTTCACGGCAGAAATAGGCAGGGTGGTGGTACCTACCCGTGCGGACTCACAAGACGTCCTACCACAAGTAATTACGCAAATTATAATTTTGTGAGTTTGATTTTTATTACACGATGTTATTTCTTCACCGTGGAAGTCAATCGTGAACATTTGTTAAGTACGTATTCCATTAGAAAAATTGGTACCCGCCTGCTGGATTCGAACACCGTTCCATTGCTAGATTCGAATGCACTGGACGTCTTATCCTTTAGGCCACGACGACCTCGACAATGGAAGATAAGGAGGTTCGCCGCATATAAACCGGTCATTACAGCCTTTGGGTATCTGATCGGTTAAAACTGCGCCACGGCTAATTTTATACATTCCTTACTACTCTCCTCACCTTTTATCCGTGCAAAATCTTAAAGAATATGTATTTTAAGCACTAGTAAAACAAAAGAAAAAAATCGGTCTCCTTATAAAAACAGAAATAAATACTACAATATGAACATTACTGTGAATGGCTTTGATAAAATCCGCCGAAAATACCTCAATTATAATCGAAGGGAAACAACACTTGTATTGGCTCTCCGACATCAAAGCCCAAAAATATTTATTATTAAAAGAAACATTCGTTTTCCTTTGAATTAAACCAATAAAGATTTTATTTATATGTATTTAATTGACGTCTGAAGATTAAAATACTGTAGTAACGGCTGTATTTATATAAATTTAGTAACTTTACTACTTTTACTGGTGGTAGGATGTCTTGTGTGTCCGCACGGGTAGATACCACTACACTGCCTATTTCTGCCGTGAAGAAGTAATGCGTTTCGGATTGAAAGGCGGAGCAACCGTTTTACTGTTAAAAGTGAGATCTGATATAATGATAAAATGGAAATAATATAACCAAAAACGGACGAAGCCAGAGAAACACAGTAACAGTATAAGTTTGGCTTTTGAACAAAGAAACAATAAAAGCGGTCGATCGTAAAACTCATTCCAAATCCGGATGCAGCATGATAAGAAGACTTGCAGCTCTGACCCCGAATAATGTGGGATAAAGACGATAAGAAGAACATCTATTTATATAAGCACTTGATTCTAGTTCCTACAACAACAAAAATAAAAAAGATGTGTGGTGTCGTGAGTCCTTATTATAAAAATATTAATTTTAAGTTCTATTCGAGGTATAAAGAAAATAAAACTGGAGGTTTCGCAACAACCCACGGTCATTCGGTAACGTGCGAACTTATTGTGGTACACTTCATTCACGGTTGTTTGCATAATTATGAGTTAGTGTATTGCGCAAACGAACGCTCTGAGATCGTGGTCAATGAATGATAAAAAAATATGATATTATTTGTACGTTATTACAAAGTTAAGTCGTACACTGTGTGCATTACTAATAAAAATCTTACGTTACGGACGTTTTTCCCGGTTAGGGTATCCCCCCGCATCGTCCCATAAGGAACTTCTTTCCAAAAAAAATTAAATTCACCATTCTAACTAAATTATTCCTTAACTGAGCATACTATGTAATTCAGGAGAACTTAATTCTAAGCTAAAACTGTTACAATGTGGACTTGGGAATCAGTATCTGTCTTTAGCGAACACGACCAGCGTCGGGCGACTAAATACATTCAGTTCAATGTAATCAGTGCGTCCCTACCGGGGAAGCAACTTCGTTAGCCTCACTCGAGCGTCCGGACCGGAGGTAACATAACTGACCAGATAAACTTGATCCGTACAGGAAATTTTCTTGTGTTTCGATTGTAATTTTACATTCTTTCGTAATAAAAATGTGTATAAAGCCAATTTCGCTTGAGCTCCTAGAGAAATTTACGATTGTTCGTTTTAATCTTTTTATTTTACAGAGCTTGCGAGGAAATCTTTTTTATTGTATGCCATATGGTTGATACTTCATTCAATAGATAGCGTATTCATTCTGAATTGATCAGATATAGGATATTTCGAACATGTATACTTTGGTGGTTAAAGACAAAAATAGATAGATTCACTAACAACAATTATTACAATATAAATAAATAAATAAATATTTACTAACAATCACGCCACGTTAACTGGTCCCGTGATAAGTTCGTAAAGAACTTGTGTTACAGGTACCAGCTAACGGATATAAATGTAAGATTTTTATTATACACATACATATATTTAATAGACATCCATAACCCTGGAAAAGACATTTATATTTATCATACAAATATCCTCCCGTGGCGGGATTCGAACCCGCGACCCCCTTGTGTAGTGACCATGTCACTTCCCACTACACCAGACGGCCGTTAATAATAATCTGAGTTAAATTTAATTTAACATGTACTGTCAGTATTGTCGCCAAGTACTTTATCGTACGCTTTGATCTCGTGTATCAAGATCAACAGAGATAATCGTACATCTTTTGAACTCATTTGCTCATTACTTTTTCAATAGCAATTCATATGATTATAAAGAATATATTAGTCGACTTTATCAAACGGTTAGGTTAGCGTTACACTTGAGAGTTCAATCTACGCTGGTACTTCTAAAGTTCACCGACAACAATCGAATTTGTGGTTCACCATGTTTGCACGGAGAGTTTGCGTGTCAATCGATTGATAAAACTATTTCCGACTGTTACTAGTTATCCCCCTTTTTTTAGAAATATTCATCCTTAAAATTAGAGAATTCAAGGCATGAGACTACTTAATTATCTTGGAGTTTTGTTATTATTGTATACACACTGTTATATTTATACACATTATTTTGCTGCTATGAACAATATTAATTGAGAAAATACGTTAACAATTTATAATCTACGATCTGTATTGACTACTGCCTTGTCCTTGCATTAATTTTTACTTCACAACGAAGTTTTCTGAAAACTTTCTAAAGAGAGGAAAATATACCATTTTACTAGTAAATTTCGAAGTGCCAATAAACAGATTCTATAAGCTAATTATTATATATTATAATAAAATGAAAGAAAAACACACAGACCAGTTTATATTCAGTGATTTTGAAAAAGCAGACGAACAATGGTCAAGTAGGTATTTTTTTAAGGAAACAAGTTCCTTGCAACGAGTCCTTAATTTTTACTATTTACAAGATTTAGTGTTCGACTAATAATAATTTAATCGTAATTCAAAAACACGACTCTTGAATATTTAGATTAAGTTTATTAAGTTTTGTCTTGTCTTTTATCATTAAATTTTCTGTAAAGATGAGGAAAACTATTTCTAATTATATTTTCTTCATTATTTACTAAGTTTACTTTCAAATTTTGTTTTGCCAACAGAGGAGAAGAAAGTACATAACTGTTTTTTTCCTAAATAAAACGATTTATAGAATACTTATATATATATAATATCTGCCAGAACCGTAACACAGTATTTATAAACCAATCCCTTCAATAAAAAAAATACTTCTTAAATCTCTTCGAGTAATTTTTTTTTTTATTGCTTATATGGGTGGACGAGGTCACAGCCCACCTAGTGTTAAGTGGCTACTGGAGCCCATAGACATCTACGACGTAAATGCGCCACCCACCTTGAGATAAAAGTTCTAAGGTCTCAAGTATAGTTACAACGGCTGCCCCACCTTTCAAACCGAAACGCATTACTGCTTCACGGCAGAAATAGGCAGGGTGTAGGTCGCGCGGTCTAACAAGAGGTCCTACCACCAGTAATTACGCAAAATATAATTTTTCGGGTTTCATTTTTATTACACGATGTTATTCCTTCACCGTGGAAGTAAATCGTGAACATTTGTTGAGTACATATTTCATTAGAAAAATTGGTACCCGCCTGAGATTCGAACACCGTTGCATCGCTCAACACAAATGCACCAGACGTCTTATCAGTTAGGCCACGACGACTCCAAAATCTTTGACTTTAGTGGGTATTTCCAAATTGATCATATTTGGAAAATAAGATATTTTCTTTTTCGACGGAATCCGAAGTTCTGTTCGGCCGTAGTATAATAATGACTGAATTTATTTATTTATTAAAATTTTGGTAATGTAGAATCTCTCGTATTACCAATATAGCATATAAAAGAGGCCAAACCTGGTCGGATCCGTTCTGTGGTCACGTCTAATTTTAAAGCCGTGGAGTAATTGGCTCCGGTTCGAGAGGACGTTCTCTCTATGGCTTACCGTTCTGAGCTATTAAAACACTTTATCTGTACCAATAAAAAGACAATTCCGAACTTTTAAATTTTGCGAACGGAGCGACTTAGAATCTCGTTATCTCGCCTCCCGGTACGTTCAATTTCAAACAAATCCCGCGAGTTGCTCTCG